TGTGTGTGTGTGTGTGTGTGTGTGTGTGTGTGTGTGTGTGTGTTTATGGTTATTAGTTTACAAGGTGTTAATAAAACATTTTAAATGTTAGAATTTTGCCATCTTATGACAAAATGTTTTATTCACTTTCTTTGTTGCTAATAATGAAGTGACAAGGTGAATGAGTCTTATCTTTGTGTGCAACTTTTTTATGTTATTTTTGTTAGACTATTTAAAAAACCAGGTTAAAAGCACCTTAGTCATGCTCACTTGAGTTTTTTTTTCTCAACAGTGGTCTGTGTAAACTTGTTTACTGCACTGAGTGATTTACCAGCCCCCCACCCCCCCACGCCGTTTTTCTTTCTTTCCTGGAGTCCATCTGCAGCTGCAGCATATTTAACATCTGGGATCCCGATTGTGGATCTCGCCTGGAACAAGGTTGAACAACAAGATGGTTTTGAGACAGTTCAGAAAACCCATATCGTAGCTTGAAAAATGTTTTGACTTGACACAAGGAGAGTGTTGTCTTTACAGTCACTCAGTGGTGCAGACATTTGAGTGGGCGATACTGATACTTTTAAACAACTGTCCCATTAAAAAATAATAACTGAAGGTGTTTTTTTCCCCCAACTTTCACTGACAGAACTAATCATAGTTTTGCTAGACATTAACCTAGCAGGTGTGGTCAGACCAGCCATGAATGAGTGTGTGTGTGTATGGTATGTGTGCTATGCTTCACCAGAGTTTCAGTAAGATCCGTGCTTGCAGTGAGCCCCCACTGCCTGTTTTACACAGACGTTATGTGTCTGATGTTATCACTGTAAAGACAAACCAGACTGGCAGGGGAAGTTTGTTTTCTACCGTTGTTCACACCTGTGGAAGTGAACAGGTTGCTCTACGTTCTGCGCCATCAGGATTTCAAACTGGTGCTTTTTGGTGAGAGTATTCAAGTTTCTCTTTGGCAACGCTTCATTTTAGATTTGTTAGTTGTGAATAATTCTTTTTTTAAATTATGGGTCCAACAATACTTGAAGGAATACATATCAGCTGTGTGATTTGTTAGCATTAATCATAGCTTCTTTTTTTGTCTTTGGTAAAGTCAGTTAGCTGTAGCAGCCATCTTGAATTAGGATTGATTGATTGATGATACCTTCATTGTCATTGTACGGAGCACAATGAAATTACATTTAATAACACCCATTGAAGAACACACACAATAATCAGCTAACAGGCAGTTGAATAATAGTTAATGCTTTGATGTTAAAAACACATCAAAAACACAAAATAAATAGGAGTGGGTATTATCTAGGATATGGCGATTCATCTGGCGGCCCGCGGGCCACGAGTGACCGCGAGTGACCAAAGTACGGCCCGCCAATTGGTTCATTCATCTCTTAAGGCCAAACGCCCGGCTTTCTACTTTAATTACTTGAAGTTATTTTAGTKAAACATAGACATGTGTGGTATCTACAGAAACGTCAGAATCTTGGCTAGAAGCTGGTAAAACAATTTTTATAAACACTCAAGACAGTTAAAACTACAAGCAGTTGAAGATAAAACTATGAAAGTGAAAATAAAATTGGTTTAAAATTTTGGCAAGTCAGAGATGTCAAAATAATATTTGTGTCAAATAGGAGGCATAATGTGTCCTTTTTGTTTTTGATAATGTTTAATTATCACTACTTTTACAGGGTTCTGTATGTTGTATTCATGATTAAATGCAGCAAAATAAASCAATTCAAAGGTAACAGATCTTTGTAATACTTTGTTTAATTACATAATAACTTTAATTGCTGGATGACTGTTGACTTGCAGTAACTGTGGCCCCCAGAGCAATTTAGTTGATAGCCCTGATCTAGGATATGGCGATTCAGTATGATTCTTGAGTTCAGCTCAATTCATTATCGATACATATAACTTTATACTTATTGAGATCAATACAATATCATTTTTTAAAATAATATATTGATTTATATACACAGCCTTAATATTAATAAGGATTAGGTTAGCAAAAATTGATGCTTGATTGTAAAGGGATGAGATTAAAGTGCGTACTTTTTTCCCACTCTTTCGACATGTGAGGTTTGCAAAAAATGAAGCATTTGTTCATTTTTATTTTGCAGGTCTATTTCTCTATTTGCTTAAAATGGTAGTCTGTACATAGTCAACATGTTGGAAACAAAACACACCTGTCAGATGATCAATTAGTGCTCAAAGTCTGTGCTGTGGACGACTCTCCACAACCACTCTGAGTTTTAGTTCAATATCTGCGAAACCGGCTGAGTTAAGCATTTATTTTTGCTTAGTCGTGGCGGCCATGTTGAATTGGGTTAACTCTAAAAGTTAACGAGTCTGTAGGTGTACGTCAAAGGATGACTTCCTGGAAGTTTTATTGAGATTCATTTGCTGGTTCCTGAGGTACGATTTGGTCGTTTTTGAGTATGGACTTGCACATTTTCATATATTAGATTAGAACCAGTTTGGAGTCACGCAGACTTTGAACAGAGCAGGTGTTTGTCTCGTGTGTGTGTGTGTGTGTTTGTGTGTGTGGTATCTGATCACACAGTCCTTAAAACGCTCATGTCTTCCAGGGCTTTTTGTTGAGTAATGACAAACATTTGTAGGTGTGGCTGCTTCCCTGCAGCCAACCCAACTGATTCAGCGACACTTTTTTCCAACCTGTTTAATGACATTCTGAACTGGCTCTTTGTGTGGATTCTTGTTTTGACAACATTGCCAGAACAAGTTTTTTTTTTCTCCCCCAACCTCCTCCTTTTATTTCACTGCTACACACTTTGGTGACAGTTGTATCGGAGGAAGGAAGTGAAAACAAATGGCTGCTTGTGATCAGACAAACCTGTTGCAGTTTAATTTGAATATTCTGATGATGATTTAGTTTTTGAGAATGGTACCTCTCCTCTAAAAGAGTCCAGGGTGTTGCGTTTCTAGTTGCGTAAACTTCACACACTGTTTGTGTACATCCCTCCTCCCTACCTGTCCTTACCTGTGTTTGTCTTGTCCACAGCCTAAAAAGGTGATGACTGGTTGGGACGAGCCGCTCGTGTGGTGACTCAGTTTCGCTTCACATCTGCAGCTGATTGGGACTGTGTGGGGAGGAGGAGAATGAAAAAAAAAGTCCATGTTCTCGCAGACTGTGTGTTGGGTGTGTGCGTTTGAACGTGACCACACTTGGGAAGGGTGCCCGCTCTATTTGTGTGCCTCACATTTCCCATGTAGCTGTGGAGGAAACGCTGGCTGGCTGGGCGTGGAGTGTGTCGGCCCTTCCCACTGAACGCTCCCATCTGGGAGCAGCCCTGCACTTTTTTAATTGGCTTCATCAAATTTATCAAAGGCCACTGCAAACTCCGTCGGCAGGGTKTTTTTTTATTGTGGATTTAAATGATACTTACAGAAATAGTTCATTCTGAAGTGGGGTTCTTTGAAAAAGTAACGAACGATTAATATTTTAGTTTAATTCTGATAAGACTGATGAGCTAATGGCTAATTGAACAAAGAAAGTGGATTGCTGCCATCTTCAAACAGCTTAACTCTCTTAAATTTCATTACAGTTCGAGTAAACATTGTTCTATCAATCGCATCATGTCATACTCGCATTACAAGGATATTTATGTAGAGTTTTGTTTGTAAGTGCAATTAGAAGCAGMCAGCTGTAGCACTCCTGCTGCAGCCTGGGTCATTTCAGGAATGTCGTCTTTCAGCAGGAATAACCCTGGATTTGTAAAGATCTATGAAGGTATTTTAAGTTTACCACATTTCAAGAATTCATGGATCGTCACAAACMGTAAATGTTCAAAGAATGAAACAGAACAGGTAACCCAGGTCCTGATCACAAAAGATAAAACTAAACAACTGATGATAAAATAACTAAGAATAAAAATTCAGTACATAATAAATAAGATGGATAAAACAAGAACAGCAGACCCCCTTTCTAATAAAGTTTGGACTTTGTGTAAAAAAAACAGAATATAATGATTTGCAAATCTTAAACTATATTCAATTCAGTACACTACAAAGACAAAATATTTAATGGTCAAATGAATAAACTTTATTAGTTTTATACAAATATTCACTAAYTTTAAATTTGATGTTTGCAACATGGGACAGTCATCAAACTCAAAGAGTGAATTGTAAAAAAAACAGTTTTTCTATTTGAACATTAAATATATTGTTTTTGTAGTGTATTCAGTTGAACAGAAGTTGAAAAGGATTAGCAAATCATTGCTTTTTTTTAAGCTTTGAGTAACAAGTTTTTACGTCTTAATAGTCTGGAAGAAGTTTTTGAAAATCAATCAATTTCTTTTAGTGTAAGTAAACTGCATGAGCTGCTATTGAATTCTGAAAAACAAGATTGCAGCAATCAACTTTGATCTCAAGCTAGCCTTATCAGATTTTTGTGTACTTTTTTCAAACTGGGTCATTCAGGGAGCTATCTGCAACAGGTAAGATATAGGGTTGGGCGATATTAGCAATAAAATCAATCACAATTAACTGGTGTTTAGCCAATAACGATTAATTTGACAATTAATCCCCTGGAGTCCCTGGATACCCTTATGTCCTAGTCACATGACCAATTTAGTGGGAAAGATTTGCTCTTCATAAAAATCTTTTTCAAACTGTCAAAATCACAGACTTCAGGCTATACTTCAAAATTTAAATGGTGTTGATAAATAAATCACAGAACTTTTGTTTAAATGTTTGTCATATTTGAAGCGGAGAGGAGCACCGAGTGGACTGACGGGAAATCTCCAGTCAGTCCGCCTGGTGGCATTAATCATATTAATCGTCAAGTGCCAAAAAATATTTGATTAATGTTTTTCTGACGATTAATTGCAGACGATACGATTATGCCCAACCCTAGTAAGATATTAAATGTTCGTCCTGTTCCACGGATCCTCTCTTTAAAAGGACTGAACTTTAGCATGTTCATCTTATTGGCAGCAGCTCCAAATCACAGGACCTAAAATGACTGGAAAAAAAAGTGGATTTGTTTTCTTTTTCTCCCTTGATTTCATTTTAAAATATCCAGTTACATATTTGGCAGCTTGTTCTCAGTAATTATGTGTTTTTTTATAATTTGGCTGTAAGAAAACTCAGCGGTGTCATTCTCAACGTCCTGCGGCCAAGTTCTGATGTTTCGCTCATGTTTGAGCTCAGATGTATCGACGGGCCTTAAGTTTGATGAAGGGGCAGATGAAGGCCCCCACCCCCCCCCCACGCTCACCCTCCAGTTGTCCAAAGGACCGGCTGTCTTCGGAGGCTGACACTCTGGTCTCGTTTTTCTGGGATTTATTGCCGCGATGCGTGGCGTTGATTACAGACCCCTCTATTCTTCTGTGCCACCACGGCTCACATTTGTCTGCCGCCATCTGTGCCCTCGCTCCATGTACTTAACCCCCTCTTCTGTGTCTTCTTGTCGAGGGCATGACGAGGGGCTGGCGAGTGAGGTAATGTTTGCTTGTTGCAGCTGCGCCGACTTCAGCAGCCGCATTTCACATCCTTTGGGGAGAAAAGCTAAATATAGCCTTGTCGTTTTTCCCTGATTGTTTAAAGAGCCTGTAATGCCCTGATTTAGCTTTACTTTGTAAGGTCAAACGGGTTTTCTCTCAGTTTTGTGACAAGGCCTTTAAAGTTATCTCTGTTTATGTTGTGGCTGATTGAAGTTGCTAATCTCTTGTTGCTCYGTGCTTAATTCATCCCTTTTGTTTTTGTCTGTGGGAAAGATTAATAGGAAATGAGTCACACCTCGGGAACCACATGGCTGCTGTTGAATCATCTTTTTCAGCTACTTTTGTTACTGTTGTTGTCTGCTTAGTAGTTTTTGCCACAAAAATTATTTTTAGTGCTTTGTGGTTCAGTGTTTTGAAAGCCAGGCATCTTTAGTTCCAGGATTTCTTATGAGTTGTCTGTGAGAATCATCACTCTTTTTCAAATCAGGCATTTTTCTTTCTGGAAAAGTCTTTGATCCCCATTTGCCGTGGCGTAAACCTAATTTTGTTCACCCAACTCCTGCGCTGAAGAGGAATGCCATCATACTGGTTCGAGAGAGCGAGGCAGCACGCCCTGCTCACCTCCTTTTGTGAGTGAAGCCCAATCTGCCCAGGCCTCGAGCATTCCTCCGCCGCTGCAGAAAAGGGAAGGAGGCACTGAGCGAGATTCCTGTTTCTCCCCAGATTTCCAGACTGCTGCTTTGCCTCAGCACAGACTGGGAACACAGAAGGTTTTTGTCCAGCAAAATGACTCATTTTGTGGCCTGAAGTCTCCTTCCTGCTTCTTTATTTAATCATGCAACAAGTTTGCAGCATTGATCAGTGTTTTTGCTGTTTAAGCTACACACACCTCTCACAGGTAGTGAAATAAAGAAATGAAAGCCTAATGATCAAAGTGTTAAGTTTTAAAGGATGCTCTGTGTCCTAAGCAAATTTATGAAAAGCAGGGAACTAATTCAAAGGATGTTTTGGTCAGAGCTCTGTGGTAGTTTCAATACAGTGTGGAACTGTTGTAATACAATAGAGGCAACAGGAAGTTTTTTTTTTTAATGAAACAAAACAAGCGTTCCTGGAGAAGAACTGTTGGTGAGGTGAGAGATCAGTCCTGAGACCTGATGGTCACGTATTGAGTTTTTTTTTTTTTTTTTTTTTCAGTTTGTTGAAGTCTGGATGAATTTGTCTCAGTTCGTTCTTTAAGACCCTAATGATGTTTTTCTTTCTTTCCACAGTCACCTTTTCCTGACTGACCACGTCTGGTCAATCACAGAAAAATGTCTGGAAAAATAACAAAAGAAGAGGAGGAGGAGATGAGGGAGATTTTTGAGAAAGTTGGTGAGTAACAGAGTAATGTGACCGTTTTCAGTGCAATCGTTGAATAAAAAAAATGTAGTTTCATCTTTTTCTTTTGCTATCCCAGATACTTTAAAGACTAAATGATAAAGAAAATGAGAGATTACCATAACTGCTTCTGTTTCTGTTGCTTCAGATCTGGACAGCAACGGGTTTATTAACGATTACGAACTTGGCGAGCTCCTTAAAGATGCCGGACACCCCCTGCCTGGCTACATGGTCCGGGAGACGCTCCAGAAACTGGATCGCAACAAGGACAACTTGATCAGCTTTGAAGAATTCTTGGCGGTACGTTAAAGTTCAGATGAGTCCATGTCTGAGTTTGTTATATGGGGGGAAAATGATAGCATCTGCTTTACATTTTTTTTATCTCTCTAATATAGTCTTTGTCTTCTGCCATCTGAGTGGGAACCTCAATGCAAAACAGCTCTCTGCAGCTCCGTACAGGACAGTTAAAAGACCACAAATTCACACACAAACATGCAGGAATGTGGAAGTGCAGTCAACAAAGTGAAGGGAGGTCTTGGGTTTTTTTATTTATTTTTGTTTTGTCAGAAGTGATGAAGGAGCAGTCATTAAGGGTCAAAAAGATAAGGTGGTCAAACCACAATGGCCTTCAGTTGGTACTGAACAGTCGTGGGCATGGTTCTGCTAACGGCTAATAGCAAAACAATGTCTTTGTTTAGTAGATTAGATTTCACTAACTTTGAAAACAATTRGCGAACCAATTAGTTTCCACTTAATTACATTTTGCCAGCTTTAAGTCTAACAGCTAACTAGCACAGGTATAAATACGTACATAGGTAAATAAATAAGTATTTTCTATACCTGTTTAATATTTTTTATACAGTAAGTAAAGTGTTTATTGACTGAAAAGCTGTTTTAATTTTATTTGTCTTCATTTCATCTTTGTGTGACCACCTGCGTCAGGCAGGGCTATAAATCTGGTTTTGATTGGCTGAATTGCCACAGATGTACCCGCCCACTTTCAAAACAAACCAATAGAATCCAACAAACATCAACAGGTTTGCATCAGTCCCACTAATCTTCCGCTGCAAGGATGCGATGACATATGCTGAGAGACTGTAGTCTTAGCCATTAGCTGATAGTATTAGCATCTGCTAATTTTTTATGTTTTTCTTTATTTGTTATTGAACTTTTATTTCACCAGGAAATTTTCTTTCGCAAGAGCTACATTTTTAGTTAGTGCATTATGAGTTAGCAAAGCTAACTTTTTGGTTAGCTGTGCCCACCACTGGCACTGGATTTTAAAATGAGCACTATTCTATGTAATATTTAGGTCTTTTCTTCTAATGAAGGCCTGAATATTTATTATAATATTGCAAATGTGGCATTTGCAGTTTCCTAATATTKATAAAAGATTGTAACAAACTAACCACATTCATGTGCTTCTGTTCTGTGCGAGACAATAGAACCACAAGGTTTGGTGAAAACACCACTTTATCAAACAGGTTTTTATTATTCCAGCCCAAGTTAAAAACACATTAAATCATTTCTGATATGCCCCTCACATCCCTGTCATGTTTTTAGGATGAAAAGTACAGATTTCCTGCTAAATGTCCAGGTTTAAATTGACATGTTTGTCATCTGTACAAGGCTGTGGTTGTCTTGCTGTGGTTACCTCTGTCACTTCAGAAATGTAATTTAGCAACATGCTGTGCGTCTGAGGCAACGGCTGCTGTTGCTTTTTAAGCATCACACCCAGTGCCGGTCTGTGTAGTTCATTGTGGTCCCACTAACGCCTGTGGGGCTGAGCTCACTGATGAAGCATTGATAGCCTCGGCTGCAGGAAGTGTCGGCCATATTACCATACAATACGTGCTATCAGAGCTGCTCACACGTTGTGTGTTACTGATAAGACACACAGAACTCTATATTTCCGTTTTGTAATGTTGACGCTGATTTATTGTTGGGATTAGACATTAGTCTGGAGGCTGACAGATACAGAGCTCTGGTTTTACAGTTTCTGTTAACCTTAATGACAGACTGACTCCCACACGCTCAGGAGTGTAACACTCAGATTATACCTGTAGTGAACTGCAGTTTAAATACTGTCGTAAACATGTCGACTTGATGCCCTCACTTAGTGAATCATCCTGCCTTTTCAGCCTTTCAGGCAGACCGATTGGCTTTATGTTTTCAGGCCAGTGAGGAAAAATTCCTGTCTGCTGGGCAGCCTCGGCTGCCTCAGCAACTTCCATATAAAAAGATGATTCAGGTTGTTTGTGCTCAAAATAACATGTCCAAATGTAGTTGAGTGTACCTCAGCATTTACAAGTTTTGCTTCAATAATCCTGGTATCAAAATAAAACTAACACTTGGGGAATTTCATCAGAAGTGATACTTTTACAGAGATAGTGAGGATGAAACCTTCAGCTGGCGGGCACTGAGTCGCCTGCGAGCGACTGGTTGGGCACACCTGACAAACCAAAACTGAACACAGGTCAAAGAAACCAAAACTGAACACAGGTCAAACGTAACTGACCAAGAACACAGTTTAAATGAAACCGACCAAGAACACAGTTTAAATGAAACCGACCAAGAACACAGTTTAAATGAAACCGACCAAGAACACAGTTTAAATGAAACC